TATCCATTAACGATTTCATATTCAGAAAAGTATCTTTCAAAAATTAGGGAAAACATGACATCTTAAGATAGACAAAAACTGAATAGATTTGTTGCTACAGGTCTGCATTACAAAAGATGCAAAAGCTATTCAGCATGAATAGAAATAATAAGGGATGAAAACTTAGGTTAATGGAAAGAAAGAAGACTATTAGAAGGTAAACATCGGGGCAAACAAAGAAGATTAACTGTTTTATTTTCTTGATTCCTTTAAACATAACTGACTAATTAAATCTAAAATAATGAAAGCAATATTTTGGGATTTATTTATTTATTTATTTATTTTTTAGACAGAGTCTCGCTCTGTTGCCCAGGCTGGAGTGCAGTGGTGCGATCTCAGCTCACTGCAAGCTCCATGTCCTGGGTTCACGCCATTCTCCTGCCTCAGCCTCCTGAGTAGAAGGGACTACAGGAGCCTGTCACTACACCCAGCTAATTTTTTTGTATTTTTTTGTAGAGACAGGGTTTCATCGTGTTAGCCAGGATGATCTAGATCTCCTGACCTGGTGATCTGCCCACCTCGGCCTCCCAAAGTGCTGGGATTACAGGTGTAAACCACTGTACCCGGCCATATATTGGGATTTAGAATGTGAAAGATTAGCGTATGTGAGAATGCTAGCTAAAAGGTTGGGAGGGCATAGATTGAATTATATTACTATAAAATTCTGACATTTATGGTAAGTATTATATTAATTCAAGGTAGAATATTATAGGAATGCATATTTAATCCCTAGAGTAGACACACACACACACACACACACACACACACACGAAGAGATGGAGAAAAGTGGGGAGAGAGAGAGAGAGAAAACAAGTCAGTAGAGGATGCCTACATTTTACTTTAGCCACTTCTATCTTATACCATCTAGCTCCTTGCCAGAGCAATAAGGTAAGAAAAAAAAAAAGCACAAATATTGGGGGAAAAAAAAAGAAAGAAAATTGTCTTAATTCGATGACCACAAAATTATGCATGAGAAAAATCCTAGAGAAAATTAAATTATTTTACAAATGTGTGAATAATACATCCTTTAAAGCTATGATAATCAATAAATTAAGGAATTGGCATAAAGGGAAACAAATACATCAATGAAAGTGAGTAGGAGTCTAAAAATAAATGCAAACATAAGTTGTCAACTTTTTTTCAACAAGTCACCAAGGATATCTAATGGATTTTTTTAAGTCTTCATAACAAATGGGGCTATAGTTAGTGGTTATGTACATAGAAATCAGGCATCTTGATTCTACCACATACCATATGTAAAAATTAATTCAAGAATATCACAGAGTAACAGTAAAAGTTAAAACTCTAAAATTTTCAAAAGTAATCCTAGAAGACTATCTTTCAGAGGTTGTGATAGTCAAAGATTTCTTAGACAATATTTTTTTAAAAAAACATAAAATAGTGAACTTCAAAATTCAATATTTCTGCTCATGAAAAGTCATCAAGAATAAAATAAAATCACATGTTTCAAATTGAGGGTTTTTTTTTTTTTTTTTTTTTTTTTTTTGAGATGGAGTCTTGCTCTGTCACCCAGGCTGGAGTGTAGTGGCATGATCTCAGCTCACTGCAAGCTCTGCCTCCTGGGTTCACGCCATTCTCCTGCCTCAGTCTCCTGAGTAGCTGGGACTACAGGCACCTGCCACTATGCCCAGCTAATTTTTTTGTACAGGCTCATGCCTGTAATCCCAGCACTTTGGGAGGCCAAGGCAGGTGGATCACAAGGTCAAGAGACCGAGACCATTCTGTCCAACATGGTGAAACCCCATCTCCACTAAAAATACAAAAATTAGCTGGGCATGGTGGTGCGTGCCTGTAGTCTCAACTACTTGGGAGGCTGAGGCAGGAGAATCGCTTGAACCCGGGAGGCAGAGGTTGCAGGGAGCTGAGATGGTGCCACTGCATTACAGCCTGGCAACAGAGTGAGATGCTGTCTCAAAAAAAAAAAAAAAAAAAAATCATTGAATCATTTGATTCAAATCTTCAATATCAAAGAATTAAGTTATTTCTCTGCTACATTTCCCTACTCAAGCATTACATGATAGATACATTAACAATGTGATAATAAATTTAAAAAAAACAAAGACAATAGTGTTAATAGTATCATTATACGATTGCTACTGTACTGTGAAAACTCAGCTAACACCCAAATAACACCTGATATCTAAAACAATGCTTAAAAATATTCCACAGTTTTAAGTTAAAAACATGTATTAAATAAAAAGGTTTTCTTACTATCTTTAGTGAATTCACAAGAGAGTATAACTGAATATGTGCTGCAGAGGCTTTAGATCCATGAACAATACATAGACAAAAATATAGTCACAAAAATTAAGCAACAGAGTAGAGTTTCAAGCCAAATGTTTCACAACTTTTTTAAAAAAGAAGATGACAATAGACTTTATTGTTTGTTTTTCTTTTCTTTTCTTTTTTTGGAGGGGTTAGGGAGGGAGTCTTGCTCTGTAACCCAGGCTGGAATGCAGTGGCATGATCTTGGCTCACTGCAAGCTCCGCTTCCCAGGTTCAAGCAATTATTCTGCGCCAACCTCCAAAGTAGCTGGAACTACAGGTGTGCACCATGCCCAACTAATTTTTGTATTTTTAGTAGAGATGAGGTTTCACCATGTTGGCCAGGCTGGTCACAAACTCCTGACCTCCAGTGACCTTCCCACCTCTGCCTCCCAAAGTGTTGGGATTACAGACATGAGCCGCTGTGCCTGGCCTAGACTTTGTTTATTTATCAAAATAACTCAAAAGTAAACAGAAAATTTCCATAAATGATTTAGTGTGTTTTATGGCCTATTTTTTTTTTTTTTTATCTCACATACAGTCTTTCAAATATGTGATTTTAGGGGTTTTCCTTCCTTTTAGTCTAATGTGATTGATTATAAGAGAACTGAATCTTCCTCGCTTTCCAGAAAAATCAGTATCTTCTTAAGATCATGTTCCCCTTAGAGTAATAACTGATTTTTGTGGATGTTAGGGGAAGTGAAACAATTGTAAGAATGAAACTCCATTCAGGAATATACAGGGCTCTTTTTCTATCATTGTCATCTCTACAGCTCGCATATCATTTCTGTCAATGGAGATCCAAGTGTGATGCCCGATATTAAACAGTATGCAAGTGGCCTAAAGGGGTTCACACAATTTACAGTACAGGAAAACATAAAGTGAATATTTTTCTAGACTAAAGGCTGTTGTTTTCAGTTTTTATTTTTTACTTACTAATCTGTGTATTAACTCTTAATTGAAAAAAGCAAGACAAGCAAATTGTAAAAATGATTTAAAAAAAAATACTTAATACTTCTCCCACTCCAATCCTCTATTCCATTTATCTTTCTCTCCAGAAGCAGTCATGATGTCCAACCTCTTGGCTCTCCATCCTGAATTATTCTACTATTTGTAAACAAACTATTCTATGTTGTATATAATAAACAAATGTAACTGCACAGTTGAGAAATATTCCAGAACTGTTTTCACGGTTAATAATAGAATTTAAAATTCCAAGATCCAAGCCATGAATTTCAGAAGATGTGTTCTTGCCTCCCAGGCAGCTCAACTGTAGGAACCCACACATAGAAAAGTATTTTGAAAAGCATAAAGTGTAACACAAGGGAGAGGTTCTAAGCATTGCTTTTGAAGTGGAAAGAAGCCCCTTGGAGGTTCTTAGTTAAGAGGAATAAGTCTCACCAGTGGCTTTTCTCCACTCTTGCTTTACTTCATGAAATGGAACTCAAACCCTAGCTCATGGCCCTCTCAGAGGGACACAGGAAGATGTGAAAGTGACTGAGGCACTATTGTTCTGCATCCAAACTAATACCTGACCCAACACATGGCGTGACCTGGAGCAGAGCTGCTATAAAATGTAATTCTCCCTTAACCCCTCTGTGTAAATCATCAGAAAGCTTCCCTCCACTGATTTAAACAAATTTGGTCTTTGACCTCTAGAGTTAGAATTGGCCGCAACATCTCTTTCAGATGGTTGTAGTATTGGGTGTTTGATGTGTGTTAAGTATCATAAAACACAATACTATTTCATGATAGATCTTCAAATAATGCTACATATGTCCAAAGTCATGGTAACAGTCTCTTTATTCCAAGTAAATCGGTAGCATAAAATACTGCAGGTTAATGGAATAATGCACTTTGTTGTATCAAGATTTCACGTACAATGCAGCTGTGATTTGTAGTGTTGCTCAACCAGTTGCAACACCTGTCAACATGCTTCCTCTAGTAACTTCAAAAGGCTTCCAATAAATACCAAATGTTTAAAAGAGTGCTTGTGTATAGGTGAGAATATTTCTAGGTCTGTGATTTTCGGTATTTTAGCAGTAGGATTGGTACAAATGTTCATAAAGCAATCAGCTGCTTAATAACCTAGTTGCAAACATTCAAGTCTGACAATTTGAAATGCCACGGAAGACTCTAAAATTACATCTCTTCAGTTTTTTTTTGGGGGGGGGAACTAACAATATACTGAACAATTTTAAATAAAATTTAAACTGTAGTTAGAGCAAGTTTTCCAATCAAAAATTATTTTCGTAATTTCTATAAAATTTTTAAGGATGTTTCAAAGAGCTCCAACAGAATATAGACATATTTATATATACACACATATATGTGTTTAAATCTCTGAATTGAAATGAATTTCAACCTCTCTTGGTAAATAATGTTTAATAAACTGTCATACAGGAAGATATTGTATTGAATATAGTATTAAAATGTTTTGGTACTTAATAGTTCAAAAACTTGTTTTATTTAATTGAGACCAACTGGCCTCATTGCTTCTTATAAACTTTGCAATATATATTCAGTAAAAAGGAATAAAAATGAACAGATGTTTCTCCTTAAAAAAGGCAGACAAAGATTTTTCTTACACAATAAATCATCTACTAGTGGATTTCCAGGACATTGCTTCAGGCTGTTTAGGTATAAAACTTACAAAGATAAAAAAAAGGTTTTACCTCTGTATGGATCCAAAATTGGTAAAGAAGATTGAACTGAAGATGAACAGCATATACTGAAGGGGGTATGAAGAGGGCCAGGGGAGAGTAGAAAATCTGAAAGATAAAATTTTTTAAAAAATAATTTGCATATATGAATTCTCAATGCTTTGTTAATGGTTCAATATTCTGAAATGCATATTTCTTCAGCAAATATATCTCATTGTACATACTGTATATTTTATTGTCATGCTTACTTTGCAACATTAATATTCCACATGGTGATAAAGTTACAGACATGTTGGAGCTAAGGCCACTGGACTTTGATTTTGCATTTAATATTGTCTAGTTAAAATATTATATGTTACATGTTATTTCTTTAATTTTAAAAAGGTTGGATGTGTTTTCTAGAATTAAAGCGTTTTTTATATACACACAAATACTCTATGTTAAACAACGTAGGAATGGATGACTTTATTCCTTTGACAGCTCCCAAATTCAGTATTATTACCTGGCATTTTCAATAATAATGTGAAATTATAATAAAAGAAAGTAATTTCATATAAAAAGAGGACAGCATATACTTTTCCTTTTAATTTTGGTTTTATATGGTTGATTGATGGCATCATATCTCTTAATTTTTTCAAAGTTATTAGGAAGGAGGTATGATATGTTTCCATGGTGAAAACAAATTTAAAAGGTCCATATTACCTAATAAACAGAAATGCCTCTGCCTTGGAAAAACAACTTACAATTAAATCACAGAACTGATTAGAATTAATTATGAACATGATCTGCTTGTTCTGCTAATGACTTTGATCCCCAAGAGTGGTTTCTTGTTGGAAGGAAACATTTTATTAAATGCGAGACTAAATAACCAAATAAGAGTAAAATGAATCCGACTTTCACTTTACATTTCTGATTTTATAGAGTTTATATTTCTGAAAGACTGGATGTTTTAAAAGCATTTCTTCTGAGCATTATAATTTTATTTTAAAATTATTTTACAACTTTTGTTCTCAATTATGCAAAATGTAATTTCAAGGATGTTTAGCAATGATGATGCATTTAAAACTCGTCTAGTTCTTGTTTTCAAATCTGTCATAAAAAATTTCAACTGTCATCATAAGTAGAATTTTTTAAATATAAATGGGTTATTAAGCAATGGAATAGATTAGTGAGCAAAAGAATACTGGGCTCTTATTCAACAGATCAATTTTTAGTCCATGGTTCCACTTTAGTCCATAGTCCACTAGAGACTTAGTCAAATTTTAGGCCATGGTTCCACTTAGTGATATTTACTAAGTTCTTAAGCTTCTCTAGGCTTCAGGTTCCTGAAATTAGTGGTGGAGGGGAAAACCATTTAAAATATAGTCATCCTTTCTGTTCCAAAACATCTGTGCTACTATGATTTGATTGTTTCATAATGTATTAAAACAATTATCCCCCAATAGGTTAATAGCAAAGTACTTGCAAAACATATATGGCCTATGATATAAGTTCTCTAAGTTGAGGGGTATTTTGGAATCTCCTCTTTGAGAGGTGAGAAAAATTATAAAACAACTTATTTTGGATGGTTAATAAGTAGTTCTGTTTGGAAAGACTATGCATAGCAGATGAATATTTACAGTTCATTATCATTTCCAAAAGTGTGGAGAAGTAGTCCCTTGAAATAATACCAGCTATTATGGAAAATGTGGTTATATGATCAGAGAAGTCGTGAAGGGGTAAATTAAACAAGCAAAGTTTCTTTAACACAGGTCTTTTAAGAGCTTTTACCATGCTAATGTGAATCACAAGTCTATTAGCACACAGACTACTTTCTTGATGAGTTTTCCATAGGATTAGATTTTCTGAACTCATTTTATGAAACAGTGTGCTAAATCTTACATATTGGTAATATAATGAGGAACTGACCAATGGAAAAATAAGCTCACTATGAATTCCAAAATATCATATTTCTAACAAAAAATATAGGTGAGGAAATAATTCACATGAATCACATGAGTGATAATTTCTTATGATTAATACAGTTCTAGAAAAAGGGTCTAATGACACAATCAAGGTTCTAATTTTTACAATGGAAAGCACTTAGTAAATGTTGTCCAGGTAAGAGAATTCTCACTTTTCTTCTCTACCTCCAAACTTTGCATTTCCAAATCCTACATAGCTTATAAAACCAATTTAAAGGCCACTTCCATTATAAATCTTTATATGGTACTAACTCAACCGAAGAAACTTCTTCCTCAAACTCAAAGTAACTTGGTAGCTGGATTAGGGACATTATACCGTTTACCAAATACATCCATATCTACCATGCATTCAAACCTATGTCATTCAGACTCTTAGTTTCTTTAGCTTTAAATTACACTGTCTACCCTAGGTTATTTTATTATCTTGTAGAAGTCATATATAATAGGGCTATAATGGAGAGAAACAACCCAGACCTATATGTTAGAGGAAAGAATGAGTACAAGCCTGAAGGCGATCTAAGGTTAACAGACAGAAGATAAGTGGATTTTATTCTCTTACTAAGTGAACGTGGCAAGCAGGGGTTGTGTGAGACAGTATTATGAAGCAAGAAACAACATGGCATTTAGGGGGAGCTACACATGTTTGATATCGTAGAAGGTGTTGGAGAGTAGTGTGGCTAGAAATCAGGTTGGACCATGGGGTTTCTGGACAGACCTCAGGGAATCCACGAATCTCCTGATGCTGCCATAACAACGTGTGAGCCTGTGTGCATGGGAGAGTGTGCATTTTTCTAAAGAAACAATTGATAGCCTTCATCAGCGAGTCTTCAGTATGTCTGTGCCTCGCAGCCAACACAAAAAAATAATTTAGACAGTGGCTAAACCAAAGAAGGGAACCATTTCAAGAAGATTGGGCATAAGGAAACAATTCACATCTTTTTAAGCATGTAAGAAATAGAAAATATAAAAATATGTTTGGAACCTATTTCAATAGCCCAGAGAAAAGTGATGCATATTTAATCACAGCAGTAGCCAAGGGGATGGAGCAGTAAAGTACATGCAACAGATTTAAGGATTTGGCAGCTATTCAAACATAGGAGTTGAGAGGCATGTAGCAGTGTCAGAAGACACTCAGATTTCTGGCTTGTCTATTGGCGATATTGTTCACCAAGAAGGTGAACAGGAAGAATGGGTGGTAAAGTTCAACTTGAGGAATGTCGTGTTGGGGTCTATGAGGTGTGTGTCCAGGAAGCTATTGAGTAAGATTTTGGAAACATCTGTCTGGAATTACATCTCAGGGAATCAGCAAGTGTCTTGTTTGAACTTGTTGATATGGGTGTCATGCAAATATCAATTTTATTTGGCTTATAAGTGTGTCCACAGTGGGAAGCTAGCCGAAGATGCAACTCTATGAGCAGTCAGAAAGAGTGGCCGTAAATGAGGCTGAAACAGGACAGTCTCAGAGGTGGGAAAGATCTAGTAGCTAGCATTATCAGATACGATGAGAAATTTTTAAGAGAGAGAGAAGACTCCCAGTTAGTGTCCAAGTGAGACAGGAACTGAAAAAAAAGAAGTGACATGGAATTTGCAAGTATGAATCAGCAGAACAGTAGGCCTAGAATGCAGACCTAAAATTCACAAACCCAAGTTAGTAAGTTTAAGAATCAGCCAGAGGAGGTAACAAAATGAAAACAGGGATGACTTCTATGTTTCTCTGATAACAAAAAAGGAGACAGCTGAATGTATTCCTGCAATAAAACAATGGATGAAGGAGGAGATATTACCCATGTATTTATTTTTTTAATGTGAGAGATCTTACTATATTTATGGCTTATTCAGAAGGAGGCAGTTGAAACGAAGAGAGAAAATGCCAAGACTATCTGATAGGACAAAGTCCAAGAGAAAAAAATATAAAGTAAGAGCAATGTCACCAACCTAAGGATTAGACCAACTGAAGAGAGGTGAGCATTTTCTATAAAACTAGAGGTAAGAATGCATGTTCATCACTTGTGAGTTCATGAATTTTAATTGAATATGTATGAACAGGGAAGACTAGATAAGGAAAACTGAAAAAAATAAAAAACTCACATTTCTCTTTGAAGTTTTAAATATGTTCAAGAGGCAGGAGTGGGGAAGAGATCTTGAAGAGACCATGAAATTCTGAAGAGTTTCCCCAAGGTTGAGAGGAGAAAATAGAGCAGTCTCCTGTTCATGACTTGGTACACAGTGTTTAGGAATCAGTTGGATCTGAATCCATACATGGAGGGGCACCAAACTGCTGACCTGGTGCAAGAGGAAGCCCGTAGCACTCAGCAATCTGGATGTGGGAGTGAAGAGTGTAGATGACTGGATTTACTCATGGCCTGAAGATTTCAAGGCACAGGATTTCAGCAGAGGATGCAGACTGTGCTTCGCAGAGTCATGGAAATTAGGCATCTTAATTTGGATAAGGTAAGAAGTAAAGTGAGGAGGCAATGACAAACAGAAAATGTAGGAGGTGAGACAGTAAAGTACTCCAGACTGTGCTTCACAGAGTCATGGAAATTAGGCATCTTAATTTGGACAAGGTAAGAAGTAAAGTGAGGAGACAATGACAAATAGAAAATGTAGGAGGTGAGAGAGTAAAGTACTCCATGAGTAAGCTGCTAAGCAAGTGGCTAAATGGTAAACATAAAATTACTTTTAAATAAATGAAAAACAAAAAAACTTTTGAACTCTAGAATTCATGTCTGCTTTATTTTAATAGTTCAGAAACATTTCATTAACATTACTAATGTATCTATTTCTAGGATTTTTATTTATTTTTATAATATTAATTTAGAGAAAAAGCAACTAAAAAATGTTCATCAGAATTGAGAAACTAATGATTGAAGAATCAAATAGCATGTGCCACATTCCTTAAGTCTATGATTGGTAATGACACAGATCAAAATTACCTGATTATAGATAGAGAGCATTGATCTCTGTCCTTAAGACATATCTACTTAGATTTTATGTTTGAAATAAGAGTGTGTGTTTCTATTTAGAAAGTCATTAAGTAACCTATGTCTATCTTTCTGGTCCCATTTCTATGCACTTAACCATTTCCTTTTGACCCCATTCCACCATTTTACACATCCTATGTTCTAGCCATACTCATACTGT